CTGAGCGGTGAGTGGGGCTCCCAGCACTGGGTGCTCTGTCACGCCTCCCGTCACGGCGACTTCTGGATCCACTGGATGAATTTGAGGTCCGACGCTGCTGGCGGGAGTTGTTTTGTCTTTGGGAGGTCCTGGCTGCTGTCTCCCTTGGGTTTTGCCTCCCAGCACTCGGTGCTGGCGCGCAGTTCCTGTCATGGGGACTTCTGGACCGGTCAGATGGATTTGGGGTCTGACGTTGCCGGCGGGAGCGGTTTCGCCTGCGGGATGTCCCTGATGCTTCCTGGTTGGGGGTGCGGCTCCCAGCACTCGGTGCTCTCACATGGCTCCTGTCATGGGGACTTCTGGACCGGCCGGATGGATTTGGGGTCCGATGTTGCCGGCGGGAGCGGTTTCGCCTGCGCGATGTCTGTGATGGTCTCTGCCTGCGCCTGCGCCTCCCAGGACTTGGTGCTGGCACATGGCTCCTGTCCTGGGGACCTCTGGACTGAACGTGTGGAATTTGGGCGCCGGTGCTGGGGCTGATGGTCTCCAGTGCTGGAGAACTGGGAGACAGCCCTGGTAGCACCAGGCTGCCTGTGTTGGGGCTGATGGTCTCAGGTTCCCTGGAGCTGTCAGAAACCTCCAGTCCTGACAGTCTGACCACGCAGACACCAGCAAGCCGCGAGTCATCGCCGGAGGCTGTGAGGGGAAAGCAGGAAGGTCAAGATCGTTCCAGACCTGGGACAACATAGGCCAGAGCAGTGGGGCTCTGCCAAACCCACCCTGGGCACCCACTGCCAGGCCCAGGGGCACCAGGCCCAGGGTCACCAGGGTGCTTTGCCACTTACATGTGCCCAGACCAGCACAGCCGTCACATTCCCATCTGGTTATGCTGTTCCTCAGGCCAGAGCACTGTCTGTGGGTGCCCTCAGCAGCACAGGAGGAGCACCGGAGCAGTTGCCAGGGCCTGGGGAAGCAAACGGGTTAATGGAGGTGCTGAGCTCTTCTCCTGGGTCCTTCTGCTTCAAGCCCTGCAGAGCCCCAGGAGGCAGCTTTGGCAACTTACCCCTCCTGCTCTGCCTCCTGCCTGCCTCCTGGACAAAGGCACTCACTGGCATCGCAGCGCCTGTGCCTCTCTCTTTGCTCGGCGAACGCATCATTCCCCTCCCATGATGGTGGTCTGAGGAGAAAAGGGAAAACTGATGAGCTCCCTCTGCCCCGGCATCGGGCGGGTGCAGGGTGTCCCTGCTCTTCCCCCTGTGCCATTTCCAACTCCTGCGGGAGGCTGAACCCGGGACTCACGGAACAGTGCAGGGCCAGGACTGCTGGGACAGGCCCTGGCACAGCACAGCACTTGCACCCCCCTGTGCTGTTACACAGGCAGAAGGACACCAACCTGAAGGGGATTCGGATCCCCATGATGAACATATCCCTGAGAAAGCCCCTAACGTTTCTGCAGAGGGGGCACCAGAAGGCAAAAGCACCAGCATGCAGAGCGTGTCCCTGCAGGAGAAACACAAGCAGCCAGAGTGAGGCCCTGGTGCTGCTGAGCCCCTGCTGTGCCCCCCGGGGGTGAGGGAACCACTCCTACTTGGATGCAGTCCCTGTGGAACCAGGCGCTTTTGCAGGCTGGGCACACCAGGGTGTTGAAGGTCTGTCTGTCCTCCACAGGCTCCATGCAGATGAGGCATTGGGTGCCCGGCTCCGGAGTCACCTTCACTTCCTGCTGTGGTCTGTGTGCGGGGCAGAAGCCCCTGGGGGAAAAAGGGGTGGGTGAGGTGAGAAGTGCTCGGCCCTTCCCTGGTGGTGGCGAGGAGGGGACAGGAGGTACCTGTATCGCATAACGAACTTGGTGACACAGCCTCCCTCCTTGGCACAGGGCAGGTGGAAGCTCAGGTCACAGCCTGTTTCGCAGCAGGTGATGGTGGCCCCGCTCTGGCCACAGACGCAGCATCTCTGGAAAGAGCAGAGCAGCCCCATCAGCAGCAGCCTCACGGCCTCCTCCGTGTCCCAGAGCTGGTTGGAAGGGCTGGGCTTTCTTGCTTGGGGTCTGGGCTAAGCTCCAGCAAACCTTGCCTGGCCCAAATCTCCCTGCTCTTGTCAGGGTCTCACCTGCTGTGCCGCTCGGGAGACTTCATCTTGGATATCCCTCGGGGGAACCAACCTGATTTGTCGTCGAGTAACCGGGCGGTGAGGAAGGTGGTTGGCAAAAAACTGCAGGAAAAACAACACTCACTGATGAGGAGAGAGTGGCAGGGACTGCCTGTCAAAAAATGGAGGGAGCCCATGAAGCAACTCACCAGGCAGAACCTGTGGACACAGAGCCCATTTATGTAGTGTTTTTCCCCGCAGATGTCCGGGTCAGCGTCTGCTTGCTGACACAGCAGGCATGCTGGAGGGGAGAGAGACAATGGCCCCAGTCATGGCACCTGTGCTGCCCGCCCTGACAGCCCCTCTGCCAGGCTGCGGGAGGGGCACTTTGCTCTCACCTGGCTCCCTCTCTTCGGGGGCCTCCTCCTCCTCCTCACTGTCTGACATGGTGTCTGTCAGCAGGGAGTCCCTATTCTTGGAACACCAAGGTCTCCTCCAGGTGCTCCTACGCTGTCTGCACAAAAGAAGCAAGAGGCGTTTCCAACAGAGGGGCAGAGCCCGGGGGGCTAGGGCCCCCCTGCTGCCCCTGACTCCTGTCTCTGTGCGCCTTCTCCTTTTCTCCAATCCACTGTAGTGTTCTCGAAATGCTCCTTTGCTGATTCTCAGAAGGGCGAGGTGGCTTTGGTTGCAGCCCAGGCCAAGAGCCCCAAGCTGTGAGGCTCTCCCTGGGCAGCGCTGTCCCTCCTCTTCCTTCTCCTCTTGTGATCAGGAAACACTGACACTGGGCCCGAGCCCAGAGTCCGGTTTTGTGCCCTTGGCCCCACGGGTCACAGTGGCCACTGTGACATCAGCATCGTGTACCTGAAATACGGGCAGGGATGGCCCCAGCCCCCCATCACCCATTGTGAGGCGGCCCCTTGGTAACCGAGGTTCCGAGGCGGGTCCCGTCAGTGTCACCTCCATCCCCAGAAAGGGGACAGAACAGCTCATGCTGCATGTCATCTCTAAGCCTGTGGAATAAAAGGAAGGGAAAATCATGCTTGACCAGTCTCCCAGCCTTCTGTGCTGGGTAGATGAGAGGAGAGCAGTGCCTGTTGTCTGCCGTGACTTCAGCAAGGCTTTTGACCCTGCCTCCCA